TTCTGGCTCTCTCTCTCTCTATCTCTCTGTCTGTCTGTCTCTCTCTCTCTCTCTCTCTCTCTCACACACACACACACACACACACACACAGATGATTTTCAAAACTCGAAAGTTTCAGAAATCTCAGCAATTCTTATTTTTATAATCTCTTCCCTCTGACCAAGGGCCCTTTCTATGCTTATCCTTAAAGATGGCCACAGAGGTAGGGACAACAGAGAATGTTATGCCACTCAAATTCTACCGCATTTGTGTCTGGCTTGGTGTAGAACTTTTGGTGCCTATTTACCCATCACCCTCCATGCCTTTCTTCCCCAAATACTTGATATCTTTTCCTAGATCCTTCTTCTAGGGGATTGGATAGAGTAGGCTGTCTCTCTCTCTCTCTCTCTCTCTCTCTCTCACACACACACACACACACACACACACACAGATGATTTTCAAAACTCGAAAGTTTCAGAAATCTCAGCAATTCTTATGTTTATAATCTCTTCCCTCTGACCAAGGGCCCTTTCTATGCTTATCCTTAAAGATGGCCACAGAGGTAGGGACAACAGAGAATGTTATGCCACTCAAATTCTACCGCATTTGTGTCTGGCTTGGTGTAGAACTTTTGGTGCCTATTTACCCATCACCCTCCATGCCTTTCTTCCCCAAATACTTGATATCTTTTCCTAGATCCTTCTTCTAGGGGATTGGATAGAGTAGGCAAAAGACAGAGTCTAGAGTCCATGACGATGAGAGGACCCTTGTCTCCACTCAACTACAATTCTACCTGCTGCCTGTGAGGTATGCACTCCTCCCTCCCCATCACACCACCCTATCTTGAAAGGTGACTACAATAAAACAGGAAATAAAAAGCAGAAACCCATATTCTTGGGCTGATTGGTCCTTATAATAAATGCTACGAGGTGGAACAGAAATACATTTGTAAACTATCTAAGCTGCAAATTCTTGATTTCAAAGTAATCCAATTGTGGGAAAATGTCAGTTCCAATTGAAGAAGAAAACAATCTTCAAGTGTCTGGCATTCTCCAACCCAAGCAATTGCTGAGGTAATTAATGTGGTAATTATTTGAGAACTCCTGGGCTGGGCTTGGTGGCCATGTGTAAAGTGCATATGTAACTCTGGTGTAAGCGTTTCCCTCCTCCACAGCTCCTAATCCCACCTCTCTTCCAGCACCCCTCCCAGCCCACCATGAATGGAGTACCTCAGCCATAGCTGGTCATCAGAATTCAGACTCCAGAAAGCAGGAGAAAGATCTCAGTGTGCAGTTGAAAGCAGAAGCCACCATAGATACCAATGCAGAAGCCAGGCTGGATTGATCAGAGGCTCCATAGCATTCAAATAGTTCACCTGGATCAGTGGGAAATGAGTCAGAGGGAACAGCCATCAGAGGCACCTGACAGATGCTGTTTCTCATGGACTCCTCAGGGGTACCAAGGCCTCTAGGTAGGGAGGCCTGGATGGCCCAGTGACCTGCTTCAGGAAGGGCAAAGTTTTGCTCCAAGGCACAGTCCATGCCAGTGGCCTGCAACAGGACAATGACTCAAAATGTCCCTTAGGTCTTGCATTTATTTGCTTTCTAGACTAAGTAAACCACAGCTCTAATCTTGTGGCTAGGGCTTTACAGGGAATTGTCTGAAATTCCTTAGGCAAAGTTCTCTTTTTTTTAGTTCTTTGTAAATTAGGTGAATTTTCTATCGTTCTTTATAAATTCTTTGACTCTCTCCTTGTCAACTTCCCAGAGAGTTGATCATGCTCTCTTTTAGAGCAGCCTCATTCTTTACTACCTGATACTACTCTCCCCAATCTTTTCTCCTTCCTCTCTATTGTATTATGTTCTGTTACTTGTAACAGAAAACACCTGTCTGAGAAATTTAAGAGAATGGAAGTTTATTTATCTCACAGTTTGGAAGTCCAAGGTCCAAAGTCCAAAGGCCAAGGTTCAAGATCCAGAACCAGACATAGTGCAGTAGTGGCAAAATTGGAACTGCCTAGGAAGATCCTGGGTCTATATCCAGGGGCCTCCCTGTACGCACGAGTGCTTGTGTGCATGCCTGTAACCTGATCTGAATGAGACTGTGGTAGTTTATGAGTGTGTGTATGTGTGTGTCTCAGATGAAATGAATAAACGTAATTTTACAAATAAGATTAAATAAACGAAGTCCAGGGGCCACATCTGGTGAGCGTCTTCTTGCTCGTGGGTAACATGGTGAAGAGCAAAAGCAAGTCTGTCTGTGTCATGTAAATCTGTCTCATTCCCTTTATAAACCTACCACAGTCCATCTTAGGGACACCATTACTGATCTCTTCTGAAAGGTTCCACCTCTTAATCTCATTTTGGATTTTTTTTTCTTAATACCTTTACAATGTAGTCAAATTCCAACACATAAATTTGGGAGGGGCACATAAATCATAACATCCTCCTTTGAAGACTGTTCTTGGTCCTTGAATGCTGACTTCTTCATAATTCTATCCTCCTCATTCTTTTAGCACCAACTCTCTTTCTCTGGGTATCCCCATCCAGATCCACGACTGGGTTGGTGACCGACCACTTACGTGCTCATTGATGACCAGATGCAGCCTCTCCCCCTAGTTCCAGATCCATGTCTATGAGACAGCTCCACTTGGATGTCTCATGGTTGTCTCAGAATCAATATAACTGAGCCCATTATCTTCCCCATGTCTCCCCATCTCACTGAATAGTTACCCAAGGAAGAACCTCAGGTGACATTCTTAACACTCTCTATAAGCTACTGAGTCCTGGCAATTCTATTTTCCATTTCAATTCTATGGTTCTATTTTCTTTTGAATCTCTCTGTCAACTCCAACCATCTAATATGTCAGTGATCTTCTCCCAGTTAGCTATGGTCACAGTAATTCTGCATAAGGAAGAAACTCACTATCTCTGGCATGCAAACAAAAACATTTATTTCTCCATAGGCATTTGTGGGGGAAGCTCTGCTTCAGGCTGTAGCAGCTAGGGTGACATCTTTCTCCTGAGCTCAACAGCTGATCAGAGTATCAGGGGTTTTGTCATGAAAAAGGCAGAGGTACAAGAGAGAAAATGGAAACACCCAAGGTCTCTTAAGTTAAGGCTTAGAAATGGCACATAGTCACTTCTCCTCTCCACATGCCATTGGCCAAAACAAGTCACATGATCTGGCCCCAAGTCAAGATTTGGAGACACACACTCTGCTGACTGTGGGGTCATGGCAAGTTAGCATTCAGGCCAATAAAGCAATCTACCACTGTCCCTGATTTCTTTTTTTTCTTTTTCAACTTTTTAAAAAAGTGCATATATTTTTTTCATGAATAAGAATAACAGAGAGTGACAGAGAGAGAGAAACAGCACCCCTGACAGGATCTTGACACCACAGTGCACCCCCAGCTTCAGACAGGCCCAGATCATGATGGACACACACTGACTCGGTATTCTCAAGTCTCCAGATGTGAACTCAGAACCTCCCCACATGGGCTAACCTCATGCAGCAATAGGTTTTACCACTGCAAATAAAAGAAAGAAGAGAAAAAAGAAAAATAGAAAGAATTGGGAAAGGACAAACAATCTACATTGTTTAAAGAAAAGACTGCTCTATAGCTAGGAGGAAAACTGAGGACAGTACAATAAGAAATTCAAGAAAGGAAATGATTGACAAATGCTTAAATAAAGTGAAAGAGCTAAACTATAACTGTTATATGTAACATTCTGAGGCCAGGCAGTGCTGTCCCTGATTTCTACTACGCAGATCTGTTATGTCACTTGAAGAAGAGTCCTTGAGGTAGAGTCTCAATTCATGATCAGATCCCAGTGTATCTATCTTCTCATGCCACCAGTTATGCTCTGCTCCTGCCATACTAAATTACACTTGTTTTCAAAATGTGCCGAAGCTCTCTTTCCTCTAACACTTTGCGCAGCTAGTTCCTTTGCCTGGAGTACTTCCTCATTTTCTTCCTAGTCCCATAACCTAGTCCCCATTCTATGCACTATATGGGTAACTCCTCTCATCCTTCAGATCTCTCTTTAAGCATTGCATTCTCAAAAAAAATCTCTCTGACCTCAAGATATGCCTAGGTTACCCTCCTATCCCTAAGAGCGTTCCCTTATTTCTTGAACTGGCTCTTGTACTAACACTTAACCATCCCTTGAGGAGAGGGGCAATTTCTCAGTCCTAGCACTTAGCCACTGTGCCAGAGTCATTGTAGGAACAAAATAAATTCTTTTTTCTTTCTTTTTTTTTTTTTTTGAGTCATTGGAGGAAAAAAAAAAAATTTTTTTTTTTTTTTTTTTTTTTTTTTTTAGAGAAAGAGAGAGATTTTTGTTATAAGATATGTGTGCTTGCTGGAGAGACAGAAAACAAGAAATCATCCCCAGGACAGATGGCCACACCACAATTCCTTCTCCCTCCATTCTCCTCTTAGGATTTTGTACGCCACACCTGATGTGAGTTTTAAGCTGCCGAATCCAGGACTCGAACTTCAGTTGACTACATGGGAGTCCAGCAACATAATCATTATACCATCCACTGGTCTCCAAAATAAATCATTTTTAATGGGTGGATAAAGACTGTCCCATGGTAATCTGTCCATGGATATAAAGCTTAAGAACTTTGTCTATTTTTTTTTTACATAAAATTAGATAAATGTGTGGTAATCGTGTGTGTGTGTGTGTGTGTGTGTGTGTGTGTGTGTGTGTGTGTATTCTGCTCCAGAGATAGGAGAGAAATTTAGGACAGTATTATAATGAAATATAACAAAAAAAGAAAGAAAATGGAATATAATAAGAAATTATACACACACCACACACGCACATGTGGTCTAGTCCAGCTGATGAGATAGACATCTTAGATTTGAATACGAAGTTCTACTTATTCTGAATGAAGATCTGCCTATTTATGTTTTAGCACAATTAGAAACAATTAACAGCTAATGTTTATGTGTCAAACACTGTTGGTTACCTGTTCAATAATCATTCCCTCCTCTTCTCTTTCAGCAGAACCCAAAATTGGAATGGTGATGAGTGCATTGCAGAGGATGACTCCTGGCTGGTCCAGGCTAATCATGGAATTCCATTCTAGTTTCTTAGGCTGGGCATGAGGCCTGACTGATCAGTGAGAGCTGAGCTAAAGTCTGCTGGCTACACCTGGAAGTGATCCTCACTGTTAAAAAAGGTAGCAGAAGAAGCTGAAAAGATCTATGCTAGGGGAGGAGTTTGTGAAGACATGATGCTTGAAATTGTGGCAGCCATTGTACCACCATGAGGAGAGATACTGTCAGCCTACTGAGAAGGGCAGGGCAGAGAGATTGTGAAGGCATGAGTCTCTGTTGCCGCTGAGCTGCTGTCCCCTGCTAAAACAGCATCTACCTCTGAGCTTTCTGGTGCAGAAAAATACTTAAATGTCTTTGTTGCTTAAGCCTCTGTTTTGTGGTTATTCTGTTATTTGTAACTGAAATAATTCCTGAAAAATGGCTTTGAAATTTACCTCTGAATATATCAAATTTGTTATGAGCAAATATCAGAATCTTCACACCATTCCAGTCTGTTATTTAACGCAGTTTTCTCAGGGCCTGAAATGTTTTCACAGCTGGCTTTTATTGACTATAGTGGCTGACATACTGAAGAATGGGATTCATTGGCTGGAGGATTCTACGACCTCGACCTCTTTTGTTTATTAAACAGTGTTCTAACACCTACTTTTTTTCTTACTATATTCCCTGACTCCTCAGAGGAACTAGCAAGGGTAGAGCTAAGATCTCTTCACCTGCTTTTTTGAGACTTGTCCTAGGAATAAGTCACATGTATGGTAGGAAAATTAATGTCCCTCACAGAAAATGTCCACTACTCATTCCAAGCCTGTGGATATTTACTTTAGATAGCAAAAGGAATGTTACGGGTATAATTAATTTAAAGACCTTGAGTTGGGTAGATTATCCTGAATTATCTGGGTATGCTTGATGTAATCACAGTCCTTGTGAATGGTCAGAGATGTGATATTATTGGCATGAGCAAGGAATGCAGGTGGCCTCTAGAAAGTAGGAAAGGCAAGAAGAGGGGTTTTCCCCTCAAGCTCCCAGAAAGGAACCTAGTTATGGCAACACTTTGATTTTAGTGTGGTGACACCCGTTTCAGACTTCTGACCTCCAGAACTAAATCCATGTTGTTTAAACTACTAACTACATGTTGTTTGCCATAGCCACATAGGAAACTAATGCACCACGCTGGGCTTTTATGCTGTAAAACTGAGCACTCCTGATTTGGGGGAGTATATGGATGTTGCCTGCCCAAGGGGGCAAATCATATAGCAACTCAAAACAAGGCTTGAGACACCAGGTTCATTGCCATAGTGGACTTCTTTTGGAAAATGTCAGTAAGTAGACCGAACTCCTCAAAGGGGAAGAAAGCCTCCATGATGGAAAAGGCTCAGCACAAGTCTACGCTAGCATGGAGTTATGAAGATTTCCTTTCATACTTTGGAAATAAGAACATCCTTCTCTATCCTTTTTCCTCCTTTGCCCTCTTTTTTCCCTTGCTGAGGCTGGCGCAGGTGCCCAGTGTGTATCTCTTGTATCCTTGTGGCTAGTCCTTTGTGTGGCGAGTGAGAACCTGGGTGCAGATTGCAGTGAGAAAAGTGTGTTCTCACTCTGGCCCACTGGGAAGGTGTCTGCCTTTTCTTTTACCAACAGCAGCAAACAATGGGTCATTCATTCAATGAGTATGAATTAAATACCAAGTCACTTCCCAGCGCAAGATGCTGGGGATACCATTTTGATAAAAATAGGTATGATCCCTATCTGCTGCTCCAGAATTCTTTTAAGGAAAATAGACATTAAAGCAAAAGACAACAAATTAATATATAACACCATTTATGATAGGTATGATTGAGGGGAATAGGATACTTAGAGAAAATAAGAGGTGGATAACATTGTTTGGAGAGTTAAAAGAGGTTTTTTTGTTTGTTTGTTTGTTTTAGGAAATGACATGTAAATTGAGACCTGAAAAATAAGTAGGAATTTATCAGAGAAGAGCTGGGAGGATGGCAACCTACAGCCAAGGAACAGAATGTGTAAAGGCTCTGAGGCAGGACGGGAGGGGAAGGTGGCTATGGCAGTTCTGCACTGGGTAAGGGAATGCGTGATGTCAGAGAGGCTCGCGACTTTTAAAAGATGATAGCTTCAAAGGTTCTGATTTTCTTTTGTCTAGCTTTCTGTGGCATGAACTATGAGTTCCATTTGCTGAAGAAGAAACAGCACACAAAACAAGGCTCAGGTCCCTAACCTCCATGGTCCCAATGTAGCCAGCAGCCTGTCCTCTCTACAGGAGAAACAATGGGATGAGGTAAGGGCGCCCTCATATCACTTTTGTCCATACCTTTCTTCCTGGCCTGCTTTCTTTGTTGTAATCTCCAGAGATTTTCAAAATTAGAATCATTACCTATGTGGGGAGCCTGTAACACAAATCAAATGAGAGGCTGGGGCTGTTTAATGAAAGCCAGAGACCTGGCAATTTATTGAAAGTGAACAGCTCTATTACAGGTGGGGTGGTGGTACCAAATTCCATGCTTTTGAAGCAGGAACAAAGGTAAATTCAGGGTTTTTACTATGCTCTACGAAGGCAAGTGGAATGCAAGTATGTATCTCTGTATCCATTATTTATCTATTGTATCATCAGAAAAGTCATGACACATTTTTCTATCCAAAAACGAGTCATGACTTTTCCAACAACCCAATATCTATGATTGAATCTATGTGGCAAAGGGAGAAAAAAATATTATTTACCTATCTTTGACAGGCAAAACGCTCTTCTTATGGCACCCAATTAATCAAATTTCTCTAGTTCTCAATCAAAATCAGTTAATAAGGTCATTAAAGAGTCAGAAGATGAACCTCTAAAGCCAATATGGTAGAATATACTTCGGAATAAACAATGTGTGTACATTCAAATTTGAGGTGAAGAAGTAAGATAGGTAATACTAAACAAAATAATTTGTTCTTTTATATGTGTTCAAATAAAAACATAACATGCATAGATACTTAAATACTTGGATATCTATGCAAACATGAAAAGCTATGTTTTTCATTTAAAAATCATTTCTTGAAAGTCTGATATGCACTAGGATCTATTCTATGAATAAGCCTAATTTTTCTCAATCTTAGATGCTTGAAAAATATAGGTAATTTATTAATTTTACTTGAATCCAACAATTTTGTAATACTTTTTGAAAGTCCTTATCAATATATTAGCAAATCATCATCCCTAGAGTGTATATACATATGTGTGTGTGTATATATATATATATATATATATATATATATATATATATATATATATATATATTTGAGAGAGAGATTTTTGCTATAAGGCACACACACTTGCCAGTGAAACAGAGAAACAGAAAGTTAGAAATCACCCCTTGGGGGGATGGCCATGCCACAATCCCTTCTCCTCCATTCTTGAGTATGCACAAACATGTGCCTGGCATGATTTTTAAGCTGCCAGGTCTGAGACTCGAACCACAGTCAGCTACATGGGAGTCTAGTGGTGTAACCATTGCATCATCTGCTGGTTCCCCTCACTCCCAGTGTCTATTTTAATCGATTTTTCAATTGGGGAACTTAGTGAGGTCCAAAGTCTGTGTTTATGTGTTTACCCATTAATGCCGTGAGGTTACAGGATCTTTATTTGTTTTTAATTTCATTCATCCAAAAAGTACTACCTATAAGGATGAAGTGTCAGGATCCCACAGTGAAGATGGCAGCTCTTGAGGATTTGACAATTGACTGGCATTCTCAACATTAAATAATTTCAAGAAATAGAGTCTCATAACTAGGAAACATTTACTTGAAAAACCACTGACTCAGGATACACCAATTAAGCTTGTATTTTCTCAGCTCATCCAGTTTTGATGATAGCTTTTGTTGGTTGGTTTTCATGAAAATTCAGTGCCTACTTTTATTGTCAATAAGTTAAAACACTATTTTTATATCCTTTTATCCTGGCACATAATCCTTTATGTTCATAGATCAATATTAGGGGAAATTTCTTTGCCAAGTAATGATCCATGTAGTCATAATAAAAAGGAAACATTTCAAAGGTTTTCAGAGTCAAAGAGAATTATTGCAGATTCAAGTGATTCTATTCAAGTGTTGTCCAAATGTCCCACCAAATTTATTAGCCACTTTTAGCACTTTCAAGATTGAAAATGAACCTCTTGGTAACTGGGGCCAGAATCTGTGGAATTTTAGAGCTAGGAGGCATCTTCAATACTGTATAACATAATTCATGTACTTAGGAATGAAGAGAATGAGGCCAGGTTGTTGACAGCTCCTGCTCATTCGAAGCTTCTGGGTCATGGCTATTGACTTCATAAATTACAAACAGGATTATTGCTTAACCATTTGCTAGGACCCTTCTACCAGTCTAAAATTGCTTTTTTTGAGAAAGACTGAAGCCAAAAGAAGTTAATATGCTTCAGATAATGCAGTTGTAAAACTAAGACTAGAATTCGAGTCTCCTCAACACACCATCTCCAGGACTAATTTTCATGTAACTATATAAAATAAGTATAATAAGACCTTCCCACTGGGTTGTTACAAGAATTAAACAGGACAATTTGAATTTACCTGTAATTGTTTCTTCAGCAGGCAGCTTGCCTAATCAACAAGGCAGATTGCTCAAAGCACGTAAGGGCAAGTGCATCGAGATTTCAGGAAAGCCCTATAATCAGGGATTTCAAACACATTTCAAAGTTCTCACTCACTTGCCTTCTCTTCTCTGAGCTGTCCTTCACGGAAGTCCCTCCATTTCCTGTATGGCCTCTCCTTCAAATTCAGTTGCTTTTTCTTTATCTATAGACAAATCTCTATTGCTTCTCTGATCCATAGATAGTGTCACCTAATTTACATGTGGGAGAGACTGACTATCCATTTCTATTGGACATTCTCAGGGAAAAGATGACATTTGGTCCCAAGTCAAGAATAAACCAAGTGACCGGTTGTGTTAGGAGCAAAGGTAGTGGAGACAGTAGCGTTACCATAAGTTTAGAAAATGTCAATGATTAGATAGTTCTCCTCAAGGGAGAAGAAAACTCCTGTTATATAAAAGACTCAGCACAATCCCTATCTTGGAGTTCCAAAGATTTCCTTTAACACTTTGTGTCCTGGCCCGCGGGACGTTCGGGCAGGGTGCCTGAGTGAGAGAGCGGAGGTCTGGAACCAGCGCGGCGTCACAGCACGGGAGCGACACAGTGTCACAGCTCAAGATGGTATGCAGTCGCTCGTTTATTGAGGGCCAGAGAACATTCTTATATACACAGGGTAGGAAGAGTGGGCGGGAATTGTCGTGGACCTGACTGAGGACCTGCCTGAATGTGGAAGTCTCAGCATGAATTGTCTACTCCTGGGACAAGGATACTTGAAGGTCCTTGTATGAAGGTCATGTCAGCCATTTTGGTGCATGTGGCTCCCCACATGTCCCCCTTCTCTGTTTTATAGACAGGGAACCAGGGGGAGCTGTGCCTGTCTTAGGCTGGAGTCTTATTAGCCGAATATCCTCGGTTACCCGTCATAGGAACAACCCACAGCAAGGATGGGCATCCTGTCTTAGGTGGAGGAAGTGGCAAAAGGTCAGCTAGATTCTCTTACCCATCATTGGCTAACCAGCTCAGCGCCTCAGGTCAGATTATGATGTTGATCGAATATCATGCATCTCCAGTCTAGCGTAATGGACCTGAATAGGC